TAGTATAGTTAAATATTAAAATTTTAAGTGTTTAATAAAACTTTAATTATGTGGTCTGGCTACGTTCGCTTTAAACAATCCATTAACATTACCAGCTGGTGTAAACTCACAAACCACATTTCGACCTCTAGGAGGTTTATCGCTGTCGCATTGAGCACATCCAACTCGATTAGTAAAATCCCAGACTAATTGTGTAAATTGTTTCATCTGTATTTTTTGCTGATCTGACAGATTTTCTAAAGGATTATTCGACTCATAATCATAGAAATTCGTTAGACGATACCTATTTTATTTTTTTTTTTTAAAATAAATAAAGTAAAATTTTATTACTTAACGATATTATTTTTTTTCCTAAACTAACCAATATCCAATAACAAAACTACAGTTAGATTTGTCATATAATCGTAAAAGATTTTCACCGATACTAATAATATCATCAGTACGACCATCATCGATTTTCTCAAATTTTGATACTTGTTCACAGCGCTTTTTCGCAAAATTTATTAGCTAAGATAAAAATATATAATTAATAAATGCATACAATGTATATAGATTGGTAAAAACTTAAATTGATTAATTTAATTTTTTAAAAAAAAATAATAATATACAAACATTTTCGTCAAGCTTCAATGGTCTCGAATTGTGTTTGGATCGATAATAATTAATAGATTTTAAACATTCCATATTAAATGATGGAGTAGTTTCATCTATGACCGTCCATTTTTCATTGGGATCAACATAGTCGTAGGATTCAACATTATTTATCATGCTAGTATGAACATGATAATTTTTAGCTAAAATATAGTTAGACATTAAAATAAAATTATAATTATATTTAAAAATTAAATATATATATATATTTAAATTTAATAAACTTACCAAATATTGCTAAAAATGAAATAATAGTTAAAACTTTCATAAAATAAAACATCGTTTTTTGTGATTTTTTTAAAAATTAATTAAATATTTCTAAGTAAATTTAGTATAATTTTGTTTAATACCAAACTATGATACTGTATATAATTAATTAGCTAACTTAAACATTTTGCATCACTTATTTATACACTAATTTAATCAAATGATTAGTTTGCTTTTTTTAAGAAAAAATTAATTTTCATTGTCTAGACTCTAGACTATTAAATAATTAAATAAATATTACTTTAATATTTATTAGATAAATAATGATAATTAAATTTTTTTGTAATATATTATAAAATTTATTTGATTAAAACTAATAATATTATTGTTAATTATTTTTTTCTTAATTTTAACATATAATTACTATATTCATACTTAATCTTATTTATGAATATATTAAATATATAAAACTATATTATTTTATTTATAATTAACTAATGTCTACTAAAATGTTTAGTAAATTATTTAATAGATTTAAATTTCTAACTAAAAATTTTGAATTAAAATAATTTATTATATTCATTAACAATTATATATATAATAAATGTTTTTTTAGTTAAATATATTGATTATTATAGATTATTTTAATATATTATATTTAAATAATTTATTTTTAATGTTTTAATTAATTTTTATTATTATATAAATTAAGTTATATATATATACACGTGTATTACATTTTTTAATTAATGTAATAGTAATATATTACTAATATTAGATGATAAGCTAGTTTTGAATTTTTAACTAAAATTTTGAAATATAATAATTTATTAGTAATTTTATTAGCAAATATAATTGTTTAGTAATTTTAATATATTATTTATTAGCTAATTTTATTATTTTGAAATATAATATAATATAAAAACCAGTTAAGAATGCTAGAAAGCATTTTTAGAAAAAAAACTTGAATAGCACTGAAACCATTAGTTTGTATAATTATAGCGGTTATATAGTAACATAAAAATTTAAAAGCTGGTCAAATATACATAATTTAAATATTGTTTTATAGTGATTAGTTATATTTGTATATCAAATGACTCGGTATGACAAAATAAATTCAACTTTAGTCATGTAGGGTATAAAATGATTCAGTATGACAAAATAAACAACTACTAAAGTGTGGTATCAAATGATTACTATAACAAACTATAATCATTTTTTGCCGCCATTTTTTGAAAAAATAAAATTATAATTTTGATCTATTATATCTTATTTTTTATGCTCTATACAATTTTAAACGTTAAAAATTTTTACCTAAATTTTTTTACTTTGGCCGCCATTTTTCTCTATGTTACCGAAGAGATATTAAAATTTTAATACATATTTTTATGCCTGTTTTTGATGCTTTATTCAAATCTATACTTAAAAAATTTTACCTAAAATTTTTTTTATCTTTGGCCGCCATTTTCTCTATGTTCCCGAAGAGATATCAAAATTTTAATGCAACTTTTCAATACATTATTAATAGTCCTATAACTGAATCTGAAGTCAGAATTTCAAAATTCGCAAAAAAATATGCGACACACACACAGACAGACTCAAAAAGCCATTATAGATTTCAGTAAACAAAACTTTTCCAAGTTTTTTTTGATAATATATATATTATTTATAATACATTTAATAATATACAGTATACTGTATACACTGGCACAATTAAATATTTTTTAAAATTAATCTAATCTAATTATTTTATCAATTGATTTTAACTATACAGTACATAATTAAAATCAAACATAAAAAAAACAATAATAATATAAATAATATTACCAAATAATAATACAGTAGTTATAATATTTTAATAAAAAAAATTTATATAAACATTTGCTTAATAAACATAATAATAAAATTATTATATTTTAAATTAACTATTTGTCAAAAAGGGCAGTAATCATTTTACAATTTAGTTAGAAGTTTAATATAAATAATTATTTATTTATTTTTAAATTGTTTTATAAAATATAATTTATTTTAATTTAAATTTAATTATTTCAATGAAGAGAAAGAGATAGTGAGTGAGTGAGTGAGTGAGTGAGTGAGTGAGTGAGTGAGTGAGTGAGTGTGTGTGTGAGAGAGATAGAGATAGTTATAGTTATTGTCATAAAATTTTTACATTAATTAAACAAAAAAATATCGTTTATTACAAATACAATAATTTTTTTTGTAACAATAACTTAATTTACAGTATATTTGAATTAGTTATACAAACAAATATTAATTGTTTTATTTAATGATTGATTGATTAATTACTACTACTGGTTGTTGTTGTTGTTGTTGAGACACAACCGGGACATACATGAAGTGTTTCCGTGAATAAACAGATCGCAATCAATACAATAGATTTTTGAGAACAGTCCTCACAAACGGCACCACTAATTGATTTTTACTATCGATTTGTTTATTAAAGGCATAGCATTCACGAGTAGTAGTAGTAGTAGTAGTATCGGCCGATTCGGGAACAGTTAGCTCTTGGAATACATCGACTGGAAACAGATGATGATAGGAACGGGCCAAATGTGCCGGCGATACCAATGTTAGGCCACAAACCTGACACTCGACGGGTAGATCACAGTATTTTGATTGACATTTCGGACACAAATAGCCGGTTGTACTGAAATTGCATGTATTGTTCAGATGGCATACACACATCGATGCTTGAGTTTGGCCATCGTTCATATAGGTTGGGAAACCCATTTGCATGAGCGATGACTCGGTCATTGATGATGCCGGCGGATCCATGTGCTGATAGACCAGTTCCTTATAGTGTCCCTCATCCATGACAACATCGTACAGGCCTTTGGTTTTCTGGGCCAATGTTCGACAAATACGTAGTTCGGCGGCCAATCCAATGACCGAACAGCGGATGTTATGGACAAACAGTTGACTAATCGTCTGATTGATATCATTTGGATCGCATGTCGTCAAACTGCCCATCAATACGAGTACTTCTTTGCTGGTGTGGGCCGGCATATGTCTGGTGTGATTCATATAATTAAAAAAAACAATTACCTATACATTCAATATTCAAATCAATTGAATCACTGGATCTAATCAATTGAATCACTGGATCTAATCAATTGAATCACTGGATCTAATCAATTGAATCACTGGATCTAATCAATTGAATCACTGGATCTAATCAATTGAATCACTGGATCTAATCAATTGAATCACTGGATCTAATCAATTGAATCACTGGATCTAATCAATTGAATCACTGGATCTAATCAATTGAATCACTGGATCTAATCAATTGAATCACTGGATCTAATCAATTGAATCACTGGATCTAATCAATTGAATCACTGGATCTAATCAATTGAATCACTGGATCTAATCAATTGAATCACTGGATCTAATCAATTGAATCACTGGATCTAATCAATTGAATCACTGGATCTAATCAATTGAATCACTGGATCTAATCAATTGAATCACTGGATCTAATCAATTGAATCACTGAATCCAATCAATCAATTGAATCACTGGATCTAATCAATTGAACATTGGATTCAATCAATCAATACCTTAGTATTTTCATTGACATTTCGAGCGAATTCTGAAGAGATGGTTCGCCAATACAAGACATATCGTTCAACCGTCGGATGGCATCCAAATGCTGGCGAACATTGGCACTCAAATCGCTTAGTTTTTCGGTAGTATTTTAACCCCTACCCCACCACCCCTTTACTTAACCGTAGTTTTGTATATACAGTAAATAAGTTACAGTATAATTAAGATAACAATTAATACAAAAGTTATACAAAAAAAAAAATTGAAATAATTATATTCTGATATATAATAGTTATAATCTATTAATAATAATAGATATTTTTAACAAATATTACTTGTATTATAGTTTTAAAAGATTAAAAATTAATAGTAATTAGAAATTTATTTTTTTTAAATAAATTTTTTGAGACAAAACCAGACGCACGATAGACCCGTCGGCAGTATTTGGCCGCAACGGGTTCGCCGGCTGGTCAGCGATATTCCCGATAATGTCTAGAAAGCAATTACATATATATTTAATGAAAATCTAACATTAATTTCAATAACACTCTCTCTCTCTCTCTCTCTCTCTC